AGAAAGGGATGAAATAATATTTCTTGTTACTCCTGTATTTGTATCGTAATTAAAACAAATAAAAAATCCTGGTAGAAATGTATGCAGTTTTCCTAGATACCTATCTAGTTACTGTCTAATATTACTGTATTTCTCATTAGTTGTAACAATACTGCGTAAAAATTGGATAAGAATTTAGAGTTTTATTCAATGAATGAAACAATTTTTTTTAGTAAAGATATGAATTTTCATGGACAACTGCGCAACTATTGTCTAGTATTAATAGAGTATTATTAATTAATATTACGTCTATTTAATTACGTCTATTAATATTAATCTATTTATTGTTCAGGTTTAGTAAATGAGTTCAAATTTTATGCAACTTGTGCGCACTAATCGCAAACAAAGCATTATATCTTGGTTGGGCACCTAAGTTTACTTCTCAATCATTAAATAGAGTTAATATATAACAGTCGAGTAACTGCTCAGATAATGCAATAAAATTTCAAAACCAGGGATATCTAAAATAAATTATTACTGCGCGCGATTTATTCTAAAATGAGAATACAAACATAATCTCTCTGTATAGCAAGAAATACAAGAAAGAAAGGAGCTAGGAAGAGAATTTAAAGGAACTGTCCCTTTTCTGTACAAACAAAAAAAAAATAATTTCAATAATTTCAAATTAAAGATTATTGTAAAATAGTCTTAAAATATTTTCAAAAAAATTACCAAACAGAATTTGATTAAAAGAAATATCACAGAAAGAAAGTAAACAAATATTCAAGTTTCAGAAACACTTTATATGTATTAAAAAAGTAATGCTCTTTGATTTTACAAGCAAGGGTTCAATATATACAATATTACTGAAATAGTTCCGTGTAAAATAAAAAAAACACTTTCCCCAAAGAGATCGTGTGAAAGGTAGCTATAATTTTGAAATACTCATAGTATCATATCTCTCAAATTCACGTAGAAAAAAGTTTGTGAGATAAAGGATGTATGAATAATACAAAGGCAATTTCCGGGAGAGGAGATACACTACGGTATCACGTGCGTGAAAGCGTAAATAACCGCTCAGGGCAGAAATCGAATTTTCTGCGGGAACATGGGACGATTTAGCGGCGTGTGTAATCAAAGGACTGACGTCCGAGACAAATTAACCAGCAATTGTGCAAACCTGTGTAAACGTGAGCTAAAAGATTTTTAATTTACTGAGTTGTTTAACGCGCGATTTGTAAATCGCATATGAAATGTGAATAACGTAAAAATATTAATGATTAAGAACATTCCCTCGTATTATAGTAGAATCGCATTTATCATAACCTAGTAAACCACGTTTCATCTTCCTAAATTAAAATAACTGTGATATTTCAATAATTAAATATCTGAAGATTAAAACTCGTCCTCCGTATTTCATGTAAGATATTCAGAGAGCAAAATAATTATAAATAAATGTAAATATACAGCAAAATAAATCTGCCGTCTAAATAATCATTCTCCGGACTGGAAGTTATATGAACTAATGCAAATACTACAAAATTTTCTTCAAGAGTCGCTACTTTCGCATTTTTAGTTTCGCGCTGACAAATTTCCAGAAATGCATCGTGACGAAAAGTCTACTCGTGTGAGAGTACTTCTCTGATTCAGACAAATAAGAGTACATCTTACAAGCGAGGCAAAGAGTAACAGTCACATGCGACAACGTCAAAATCAAAATATTTCGTTCGCAAATTTATCGTGCGTTTTTTTTTCTTTGCCCAACATAATATACGTTCATTTACCCTTATGCCACTGAGCTTCTTATAAGCATCCTACAAAAAATTTTGCTTTTACAGAATGAGAGATACGCCCGTTACGCGAAGTGTCTCAACTTGTGGCGCACGAGGAAAGTGGCGAAAAAGTAATAAGATACATAAAATAGTATAAATATATACACAGAAAAAAATGTTTGATTGAATTAACGGGAATTTTAATAGAAAATGAACGATCCAGAATTCTAATTAAATGTATAAGATTTCTGATTAAATCTATTAAAATTTTAGTTAAAATAATCAACATTCAGTAGATTTAATCAGAAATAGACTTAACCAGAAGTCTATCGTTCATTTTCCATCAGAATTCCAGTTAATTCAACCAAACATTTTTTTCCGTGTACGAACAAAATAACGATAAACTCCATAGAATATTAGCATAATGATTTGTTTTCATTGAAGAAAGAAATAATTTATATTATGTTACGTACGCGCGAATGTGGAAGTGAATTTCCAAAGTGCAACGCGCCATGAATTCTCTCTGTATGAACTATGGAGCATAACAAAGCACGACCTCCTTCAAAAGAAATCATTATTTGTCGACTTGCATACTCATTGTCAGACTGTTTCAAGTAACAATAAAATTCTCAAGCTAGAATGTTAGAGAAGTATTGCTCTTACATTAATCTCAGTTTCAATGAATCTCAAATATAAAAATTCTGATGTTTGGCTGACGAATATAAAACGCGATCTTCAAGTTAAAAATTATATTCGCTCAAAAGACATTTTAGAAATCTTTAAGAGGATTCCCGAGAAATAAATATCACAATATCACAACACAATCTAAAAAATTAATAAAAATTATAAATGATTGATAATAGATACAATTATTAATCACAATAATATTTAATTATACTATTCTGTGAACGCATTCCCAAATCTCCTGCTGGCAAAGCACTGCTGTTATTTAATTCTCAATATGCACCTTTTTGCAATCATTCTAGGAAATCAAATTTCGCAGTAGAGACGAATGATTGAATATGAGCAGATACACACACATCACCGAAATATATGGGGTGCAGATTTCACGTTGCAATCGATATCACGCTTTTAACTTTTTAAATTGATTTAAAGTCAATAAGAGAGAAAGCGAGAGCGAGCGAGAGAGAGAGAGAGAGAGAGAGAGATATACATATCGTCATTTATTGAACGCTCTAGAATTAAATGACAATAAATAAAGGGCAAAGTAAGAGTCAAATACATTTTAAATTGTAACACAATTAAATAGAATAAATTATAAATAAAGAAAAATAAAAATTAAAAAAAACCAGTTTAAATTCGAATATGAAACATTACAAGTTTCGGCTACCGGATTGAATCCTCTTCAGACATTTACTTATCACAAGATCGCTGTTAAAAATTAGTTATCGAAAATGCCCGCATATTCCTTATAATAACAGCTTGAATGAGTCTTGATGTAGACATTATTCGCATATTATTGGACAGTTAAATGTGTTTCATATCTTTTGGAAAAAATCAAAAGCCATGTGTAAATTATTCAAACAAGTACGTCCATACAAGTATAAAAATCAATTAAAATGTATACAGTTTAATGGAACTCAATTATATAAGACATAGTGTGTCGATTATGATGTACGCTCGCTGATACGGATCAACACGAACTCATATTGTCCGGACATGAGTCCGTGTTGATCCGTATCAGCGAGCGTACATTATAATCGACACACTATGTCTTACATAATTGAGTTCCATTAAACTGTATACATTTTAATTGATTTTTATACTTGTATGGACGTACTTGTTTGAATAATTTACACATGGCTTTTGTTTTTTTTTTGAATGTTTTATATTTGAATTTAAACTGTTTTCTTTATTTTTATTTTTCTTTATTTATAATTTATTCTATTTAATTGTGTTACAATTTAAAATGTATTTGATCTTTTGCCTTTTATTTATTGTTATTTATTTTGTATATGAAGAGTCCTTCTATCTGTTAAATGCTCTAGAATTAAGTCTTCTCAAGCGCTAAGACCATACATTTATGAATAATAATAAACAATAGAAAACCATACATTGATAACAGTAAAAATAAAAGAAAACTAAAAACAAAATTAAAAATGAAATTAAAATTAACGCATATATATAACATACAAATATACTAAATTATAAATACATTGATAACAATAAAAATCAAAGAAAATTAAAAACAAAATTAAAAATGAAATTAAGAGAGAGAGAGAGAGAGAGAGAGAGAGAGAGAGAGAGATAAATGCCAAAATATGCATTTTAAATATATACGTATATAAATACATATATATGTATATACGTATATTTTTCATTAAGTTTCACTTTGTACCATAAGAAAATACTGTATATGATGGATATCAGTGCTAATATAAGCCACTTTTATACAAGCTTTTCAGCATCTTCCCCTTGTATCTACGAACGAGGAATTAATTAAAAGTTTCCACCGTAATTTTCAGGAACAAGCATGGAGTTAAAGAACCGATTAATTTTTCTCTGACAGCGAGTACGCGTAAATGCCTGAAAATTGTAGTCAAAATTAGAGATAACAACCTTCGCGGATATTTTTTAAAATATTAAAGCGTGTCTAAAATGGATGTACAAGGTGTCCACACTGTTCACGAAAGGCGAAGAGTCAACATCGATTCAAACGTTCGAGATAATATATGTGGGCGAAGTTATTCGCTCAAACGTGCTTTCAATTTTGTCTATCTAAAATAGTTTAAGCGAAACGGTTTTATACGAAGCTGCAGCGATAAAGTAAGCTGACGCATGAAGCATGTCGACCCACGTTTGAAATGATATATATCCAGGAGGTTCGCCGAGGTAGTCTCGTGAAAAATACCACATAAGACGCTTTAATCTCGCGAATAACGATGTAAATGGCGTTGAAAGTGATTTCTTGATACGAATACGATGGTGACCATCAATCTTGACGATATAGTCGCAAGTACCTTTAGTACACACGATTGGGTCACTGTGTTTCGCACATATTTTTTCTTCAAAAACTAGGAGCATCAAATAATTGATTGTAATATTTATATACAATTTTTTAAATACGTAATACTTTCTAAAAATGTTAAAGTACACATAAGAATCACATAATAATTTTTGCGTATTTGTTAAAGTGATAAAAATTAATCCGGGACATGAATGACCCATCGTGTGTAGTGAAGGATCAGAAAATCATTGTGTATTAAGGATTAATACTATGGAGCTTACCGGCGCCAAAAGCTTGTTGTCCATTTTTGTCGTCAGTTGGAGTGCCCTCTAAACTCGCGGGACCGCTGTCCGCTCCACCGGTCGCACTGAAAATATTTTCCCTGTGCATTTCATCGTTTATCTGACAAGATCGAACGGGACGCTATGCTCCCGAATGGTAATAGGGTTGGATCGTTGCACATGAAATATTGGATTCCAAAAGTTTCAGTTTTGTGGAACGCTTTTATAAAATGACCATCATTCAAGATAATAGTATTATCGCATTAAAGCGACGTGTCTTTCTTACAAAAGTACGTATTTTTTAGTTTTTGATTTGTCAAGCTACAACAAATTTTTATAAAAACACAGAAACTGAAGAGATTCATATTTATAATAATGCAAAATTTGATTTATATAAACTCAATAGGTATAAAGTCAAAAACTTATGACTGACCTTTTCCATCTTAAAAATATTCAATATTTAATTAGAAAAGGATTAGTTTTTCATACAAAGACATAAAAGAGAGACATTGAATTTTTTTTTTCAATTTTATTTCTTACGTACATTTTATTTCTGCGGAAATTATCCTGTCGCAAGATATCGTTGATATAAAAGAGACATTTCATACGCAACGATCTAATAAAGCGTAAATAAAACAAATATATTACCCCCACCTGCTTGCGTCATCATCCTTGACTTGCTCGCTGACGGGAGCCTGACTCTCTTCGGGCTGAGTCTCTTCTGTTTCGATTGGCGGTGGAGCTTCACCTTCTGCAGCCCCGGCGCCGCGGCTTAATCCGGGTATACCGCCACTCAACCAGCCGGACATTTGATTCTTTACTCCAGCAAACATCTCCAATTTATTGCCTTTCGGACTGCAAGACAAAAAAAACCATGTATCTTGAACATGCTCGTTGTGAAGAAATGTGAATTTAAATGGAAATCCTGAATAAAAAGAATTCTACGACTTCATTAAAATAAAATAGATTCTATACAATGTATTTAAAAGAGAAATTAAAACCTTAAAGATTGCGTGTATTAGGAATGAACAATAAAATATGAGAGAATCATTTGTATTGATAGCGAATGGAAAATTAATCAGACAATGCGCAATGTTAAGCCAGCGTGGCTCTTTGCAGCAATGAAAACAATAGAAAATCCTAAGTAAACGCAATTCAATTGCAATGCAATTTTCTGTTTGTATATATTATAGAACACATTCAATAGATACAATTGAAAAAAGATATAAACGTCATGTAGCACGATAAACCGCAACGAACAACCGATCGATTAATTAGATTAGTGCAGAGAAATCGGATTACACGAAAAAGCGTGGGCACGGATGGAATTACAAACGCGACCTTTTTAATTACTTCCTCAAATTTAAGCGTAAAAGTTCCTCTCGTTTGAAACCTTCTTTACTACCAAAATTTAATGTCCCCCGCTGGAGAGACGTGGAAGCTTATAATTCATATGTCATGCCACACAGTAGAAAAGTAACTAATTATCAAGTCAAAGGACTTGCAGGGACAAAATTCCCATTGGTATTAATCGTGTTCGTGTTATGAATTTTGGCGGAATAGATAAGGTCAACGAGAATTTCGAAATGCGTTAGACACAAGTTTGCAAAGTCGTACAACTCAATTTACATATACGATAGGACAATAATATTCCACTTTTCCCTATTATATTAGGTGTTGGAATTAATTCGTAGCGTTTTACAAGTGATGGGAAGTACTTTCATTAATGTATTTTTTAATGCTCATGTGAAATAAATAACATTCTTTCATTAAAAACGCTACGAATTAATTCCAACACCTAATATATTCTTAGTAGACATATGCATTTCTAGAAATTATTTACATAGAGTTAACTGCAATATTTTCTTTATATGTGATTTCATTCCTTTAATAATTCGATAATAAGATACAATCATAGAAAAATCAGTTATTAATAAAATATTTCGTGCTTTATTTTGACATATATTGACATAATAAAATATAAAATTATTCAATAAAATATTAATTTTAATTCAATTTTCACTTATCTTACTTTTTTGCTCAAATTGATGAAATAATTAATTCATAAAGTTTAAACAAATGTAATTGCATTTAAAAAAAGTACGCAATTTCGCAATGCATAGTTTTTTCTTAAATGTTATTATACATTCTTCTTACAGCAATTAACTTATTTCATTATTTTATGCATAAAGAATATTAAAATAAAATAATCGAAAAATGAAACTACTATTAGATATGTATATATATATATATATATATATAAATATTTTTGTAAATTCTAACTAATAATTACTATCGTATTATATAAATGACCAAAGGAATCGAATTGCATAGAGGATATCATTTCCAGTTGAAAAATATCTCGATAACGTTCGTACCATGTAAAATATACGAAAAATATGCATAGCATAAATTTTTGCAATAAATATACGTATACATATAAATATGTTGCAATAAATATTTAATTCCAATCAAATTTGTATTGGAAAGGGATGTGAATCTGTCGTGTGTGAACTGGTGGCGTTATTGCGAATGAAGTGCTCGCGTACTATACGATTTCCATTTCGCGAATTTCGTACAACTGTACATCCGTCAGGTCGATCGAACGTGGAGCATTACGAAGGATTGATTTCGTACAAGAGTGGACAGAGTGCGTTATGTGCACATTTGACATGTTGTCATTGCGCCACGCATGATTTCGCAGGAAATATACAATCCGAGAGCATAGTCCACGCGATAATCGTCGCGAAGTCGCAGAAGCGGTTCATAAGAATACTTTATTAAGACGTTTTATGAAGACGCATGCGCTCTCATATTGCACGATCTTTGGATTAATTAAAAAACGCATTACGCAACAATTCGCAAATGGATATAAGTGGAGAATTTTTTTTTAGAGTTTTATCGAAATTACATATTTTCATTTTGTGTGGCGAAAATAATGCGTGCGCGCATATGTGTGTTGAAAGGTAACCAATAAAAGATTAAAATAAATGCAATCAATTTTCTAATAAAAATTCAAAAATATATGTGCTTTTTGCTATTTCTAGATTATAAATAAAACGCCAATAAATAAAATGTGGCTTGCATTAAGGGACGATAGTATAAATAATAATGTAAATATACTCTTTAAAACTTTTAGAGTGAAATTTCATTCTTAAAGATTGAAAATTGCTTTTTGAAGACTAGTCGAATTTTCATTCTTTATAGAGATTCCACTTCCAAAAAATTTAGAAAGTAAATGTGACACGTGTTGTATGAATCATACCTCTGAACGTAAATTTTTACTTAAAACAGGCGTTTTCGCGTAGATTTAAAATAGACTATTTAAATAAAAAATTTAGCAATTTTAAAAGGGGCGAGTAAAAACGTGTAGGTTGCAACTTATCACGTTTTGAAATTAAACGTATCCGTAACAACGTATCAATACGTGAATAATAAATTAAAACTTTTAAATGAGTTTTTGCAAAAAGTTGCTTAATAAACTACGCACACATATACACACGCATGTATTAGTCGTATAAAATTAAATATAGTCCGTCGTCGAACATTTTATCGATGTTACGAATTATAATTATAATTACTGCACACGCAGTCATAGAGATGTCTGTTGTTGCAACACGTCAGGAGCAGATAATGTATTATTATTATCGGCAACTGCATCACGGTGCAGACTGTGGACGCAAAATTGCATTTGTCATGATTTTAACCGAATCGATGGATGAACATCTAAACGACCCATCCAACGCGAGATAATTCATTTGATCATCAAAATCAAAGATATGCTGTCCTCACACTGTGTTGATAATGTTGATATCAACACAAAGATCGTTCTGTTTTTGTACATTAAGTGTCAAGATAGAATAAAAGATGTTTATTTCGATTTGTGTCATCGAATGAAAAACGTCCATAAACATCGCTGTAGAGAGTTTCAAATTTCCTGAAATGTTGATTCTCCAATCCACATTCTATTTGTCAACGGCAGTTTTTCGACAACAAAGTAGTTCGCGGTAAGACAATCGATTGCCCGCCGAGAAATCTTCCTGTAATTGTATAGACGCAGATACAGTAATTTATTTATTTTATCTAAGAAAGTACTTTAAGGATAAATATCCAAAATAACAAGAGAATAATTTATGTTAAAAGAAACAATTTAAGGTATACAAAATCATAATATCGCTTTAAATTAACTAAGTATTTTAAAAAAATATTATAAAAATTAAAGTTCTATAAAACATAATAAAATATACTTTATATTTTTATTATCTCAATGAATATGTATAATAAGATTAAAATACATTATAATTAATTGTAATAAAAATATTTTTATAAGTTTTAATATTTTTTTTTTATTATTATATTATATCTTTATTCGTGATATATGTGATGCTAAGCGATTTCTGAAAATCCAATTTCGATTTCAGCACGGTGGTAAATTTCACAAAAATAAGATTTGATCAATGGAAGTAAAAAGAACGAAACGTGAACATCGTTCAGACATTAAATCCGAGCACATTATCCATACTTAAAATAAAATAAAATAAATATTTAAATTGAACAATTCGAAAAGGAGGAGCGAGAAAAACATTTTAGGAAAATACTGAAAATGCGATCAGAAAGAAGAAACGGAAGTGGGCGTGCGTCGGCGAGATCTCAACGACTATACAAATTCGGCGTCGAGAATGTCGCGATTCGCGAGATATCACCCCGTCGCGCTAGTTTACGTAAGTTGGGCGTTATTGATCTAATCACGAAAACACATTCACACCTCCCGAGGGGAGGAAGTTATGCAAGTTTTGAACACGGCGCGTTTTCTCAAAAAAAAAGTGAAGGAGAAATTACCCAAAGAACGATGTATCCCAAATGCGGGCATAAGACGTCTTGAATGCGTAATTAAGATGTCCTTCTGACATCATGCCATAAAGATCATATCTTAAGACGTCTTATGTCCCTCCATTTTTTCATTTTTAATATATATGCTGTTTGGGATCTCAGGATGAATCTGCGGATCTCCATGATCGCGAATTACTTAACTCGTTAATTCCACGTACGAGACGTGCTTACGACGACGACTCTTCTCGTTTTCATTCGCGATAATTTATTCGACTTTCGGGATCAACTCTTCCTCGTCACTCAACATCCAGATGTTGAACTTATCGGAATCGTGTAGGTTTCGAATTTTTCATTGTTGACGGAGAGATATAAGGGAGGGAAAGGGGTTTCGAGTCCACTCAAAGTGGAGTCGCGAGAGAATCGATTCGCGCATAACTTCACGGCTGACAAATTCGCGACGCAGTTCGCGAGCCGCGTACGCATAACGTTCGTATATAGGTACGTCGTGAATAATAATGACGATGTAATGACGCGTAAACGATGATGAACGGAATTCGTGATACCCGTGGCCGCGGCGGGCTAGCAGACGAACTCCCTCCCTCATCCTGCCGCCCAACGCCGCCCCGTTTCAACGATGTTGCAGGTTATGGCAGAAACACGAATGGCACACATACCTGGTATTGTTCTTTTTCTCAAGATCCGCGCTGGTCTCGACCTCCGGCGAGGTAGGTTTCGGCATATCGGGTGTCGGCTCTCCGCTGCCGTTCTCGGGCTTCTTGCCCATCCAGGTAGACACCTGATTCGTCAGGCCAGAGAACATCTTGCGACGTGCGTCAACGAGATAGAAATCTGAGATCCTCTCTGTCTCTCTCTTTCTCACTTCCTCCTTCCGATCGAACGACGACGTTACTCGCTCACGTACTCGCCGGAATAAAGCGTAACTGTCACCGAAATCCTCGCGAGAGACCGGAGTAACGACGAACGACGAGTACAACAATACACCTCGTCCGTCCTCGCGACAGCGCAGCCACGAACTGCGTAAGCAGCACGTGCACGCGCGCAGCTCGCGTTGCGCATCCGTCGCGATGCCAACGCCACCAACGGCCTTGCGCGGCAGACTCGCGAACTACCAACGATCATCGATTGACGATTCCACGCGTCGCGACGCGCGTCGCCTGATTCTCGGGGTTGATTGTGCATTTCGAAAGCGGGTGAAAATTTCAAAAGTAAACAAATTCACTGGGCATTGACCAACGAAATTATATTCTAAAAATGAATTCGCTCGTTTTTGTCATTTTTATCTTATTTTAAGATGAAAATCATAAGATAAACCCGGGAAAAATGTTATAGTATATATGGATATATTATATATATATATATATACGTAATTTTATAAATAATTATATATGAAACATTTCTTCGGGAACGACTCCTTCATAAATTACAGTGTGGCCGCTGCGCAGAAATCGAGCTACAATGGTCGATGATGAGATAATGCGCAAGATGATTTTTTTAGATAATAAATGCTAATTATCCAGATAATTTTCCAGATAATTATCCAGATAATTTTAATCTGCGGTGAAAACCATATTTATTGATGCAGAAATGATGGGTGATGCGACAAAATTGATATATAGAGTTGGTCAGAAAGTTCGTGCCGTTTTTTTTTAGCACAAAATTGTATTTACAATATCTTCGTCAAAAATAAACGAAATTTAAAAAATAGTTTTAAAGCTTGAAATCTCTACTTTCGAAATATTACTATGTTTTTTGAGATTCTGTGAGTTTGATCATTTTTACATACAGAAAATGATTTGAAAAAGATGGAAAATTTTCTTCTAACTTTGGGTCTATCATTTGTTAAAAAGAAAAAAAATTCGCAAAAATTTTCGGCTTTCCATGCAAGTGAAAGCTTAAAGTTTTCCTTACAAAATCGTTTTTTTTTTTAATGTTCCTAAGATTTTTTGTTAACTTTGTTAAAAATCATCGTATCGCAATTTAAAAACCTAATTTTTAAAGCTAAAACGTTGGTCTATTGAGTGGTATAATAACAAATATATTCTGTGTACAATTTTGCTAAAAAAAATGGCACGAACTTTTTGACCAATAGAATAAATTACTATGCACCGTACGACGCGACGCAGAGAAAATTTGATAGATCTGAAGTCTGTCGATATAACGACAAAGATTGATAACGGGGATCAGGCGGAAATTTATCACGTCTTTTATATACGTAATATCATGTTATTTCTTTTTCATCTATTTCTTTATGAATAATTATGAGCGTAAGATTTTAGTCAGAGAGAGAGAGAGAGAGAGAGAGAGAGAGAGAGAGAGACAGAGAGAGAGAGAGTAAAAATTTATCTTCGCATAAAACTTATTAAAATTATAATCAGATTTCGAAAATCTTCAGCGAACTTTCATATGAAAAATGCGTGAAACAAGCATTAAATTTTTCATCGTAAAGTTCTCATAATTTGTTTCTTTTTATTAAAATTTAGAGAAGATAAGTCCCTTTTGTATATAATAATATCGGCAATACGTAGCGTCTATATTGTCTATAATATATTGATGGACATATCATATTTTATTTTACTGATATTCGGAGTAGCTCGTCTTTTAAAAGATACGCATATAATTCTGCTTTTCTTTCAAGAGGTACAATCGGCACAAATATCATTTTATCCTTGACATTCAATAAATAACAAAAAAAAAAACAAACTTATGTTGACTGTGTCTTCTAAAAAGAAGGTAATCTAAGAAAATAAATTGCTGTCTTTTATTTATAATGCAATGTTTTAATGTGTTAAAAATTCTTTATTATTTGTGATAAAAATTACGCTTTCGGAACATAATCTTGGCTCTAAAATCGATAATATAAAAAAATTTTAATTTAGTTTACAATAGAAAGTTAGAGTTGGAAATTAAATTCTCTTTGAGGAATGAAATTGTAAGGATATTAATAAATAATGATAACTTTTAATTTATTCTGCAATATCTCCCTTTTTATGAATATCTTAAAAAGAAATGTACCCAAGACAGCATGGATTTAAGTAGCAAAATAGATTAATAAAATTTAATAGATAAAATTTAATTACAATCGATAATGTGAATACGCGTGAATTTGTAAGTTTGATAACTACATGACACTGATAGAATTTGAATTCCTTCCGTAATAAGGCTTTTTAATCCTCGTGACAAACTTGCCGAACAATAACATCGGCATCGTCATTAAAACGTAATGAAATCTATAATCAGACGATCTCTATCTTCCTTTTGATTCTTCGATTGGCGAAACATCTGTGTTTTACGTTCAATAAGGATACAAGATTATTCGTATTATTCTTATTATTAAAGCACGACATCGAGTTCTCCGTTTCAAAGGCCAAATGTAAACGCCATTTTATTACTCGATAACGTGAGAATTATTATCCAACACTTGTACAGTCAATGTCAAATATTTTTATTTTCCAGGAATTACGTCATCCTCGAGTACGGTTGATTGTTTATTATTTCACAACGCAGTGACATTAAAAATATTTGTAATTTTATTTTAACTTTGATTGGGGCAAGGCAGTTACAATAATATTCATTAAAATGTTACGATATTGACACATATAACACTTTATCAACAAAAAATCTAAAAAAAATCAAGGCGAATGAGAGCGTGGTAATAAAAATAGAATCTTTATTCCAATAAATATGTCCTATTTTTTGGAATAAAGATTCTATTTGCTGGAATAAAGATTTAAGATTGCGTATCTCATTCGACCTGATTTCTTTGAATTTTTTGTTGTTGAATTTGAGAGAGTCCGTAAGAAGATTACATTATTACTATTTATAACACTTTATATTACGTAACGTCGATATGTTATACAGAAGCGCATCGTGAGCATCGTTATGGCTCGAGGTAGAATGCACGTGGTGCACAACGATCAAACACATAGGTACAATCAGGTGTTATCGATGGATTGATAACATGCCATATATTTCATACGATGCGTCAAATCCATCCGTTACACCTGATCATTCTCAACTCCATTCCTTCTGTGCCCTGTGTAGTTGTACTTTTTATCTATCTAGTGTACAATATTTGTCGTACAGCATCTAAAATGAATGTCATATCGTACGTCATATATATATCACAGTTTGGCACCAAAAAAGTCAATCGACCTTACGTAAAATTCGCTATGTTCTTTTCGACTGAACGTCTAATAGATATCGCAAAGACATTTGAAAAGTCAGATATTAATTAATTTGAGACACGATCAACGCGATGCTACAATGCTTTGAAGTATTCTTTAATTAATCTAAATTCTTTAATTAGTAAAATTCTTTCTTCTGATTGATCAATTAAATTAATGATTCAAAACATTTGTAGTGAGACTGATCGCATCCTTGAATGTTCGTTGGAGTTATTCAAGACGATATCAATTTGTTTCATTAAAGAATTTGTGCTACGAGCTCGATCAAACGTAATTGTACAACTTCGTAATTTTTAAATATTTCGAGTTGTATATATTATATGTATCACCGATCTATCTTTTCAGTTTTTTGTTCGTCATTAAGATGAACATATTGGTCAAATACGTTAAACATCACTACTACTCGTCCCGATGTGCTAAATGGTAACATAAACGTTTCACGAAACGCGAAGTAGCGAAGAATTAAGTATTCCTTTTTTTGATTCCTAGGAATGTACATCTATACTTGTAGTTATCGTCAGTGAGCTGAATCTGAGGGAATCATCTTCGCTGCCTCCAAAGCTACTTGCTGGCGCTGATACCTGAGACAAATATTAATTCGGTAAAGTCTTCAGAGAAATAGCTGAAGCCAAAGTCGCAATGTCAAACGAGATAAATTATGCGAGCAGTTATAAGCAAAACATGAAAATGTTGACAAACTCGTTTAATCAATTTCTGCGACAGCTTTAAGAGAATTCTATAGAAACAATATTTTTATTTTATAAAATAATCGAACACTCGGTTCTCTGAGAAATTTAAAAAATAACAATAGTGTAACAGAAATATTCGTAAAAAGTATAGAAACGAAAATATCGAAGCGTGAATCTGTTAGATGAATTTTATGCAATTTTACGGTGTAACCTGAAATTTGCGTCAAAATAATTACCTCAGGGCTCTCGTTATTTGATATATAGCCGTAAACGCGACGAAGAGGTTTACGCTAAAGAGATTCCAGTTCCTCGGGGTGATGACTAAAGAGTATCTGGTCCAGATTAACCCCGTGATGCCCAAGGCACAAGATTGGCTGACGGAGATTTTGTTCGCTGGCCTCTGCAAGTCACCGAGACCGGCGATTACGAGACCCTAAAAATTATTAAAAAAGCGATTTACATAATATCTTTTGGCACATCAATATTATTTTTTCTTCACGCATGTCGCACGTGTATACACATTATATGCGCATGTATGTAAAATAAAAATCGTTTGCAATCTTAAACATTAAAATAATACGGCACATTTGCTTTAAGTTTGATTGTATTTTATTTTTATCTTTTTGTGTAGACATATGTATTAGGTGTTGGAATTAATTCGTAGCGTTTTTTAAGTGATGGGAAGTACTTTCATAATGAAAATTTATAAAAAAATATATTTCATAAAAAAATATTTCCACTATAAAATCAACGTAGACATAAATAGCGATATAATGAGTAAATAAATATTTTTACATTTTGTAATATATATATATATATATTATGGGATTTATATTTATTTATATTTATCTTATTTTTGCATTTTATAATGCAATATAAAATTCATACTTCGTTAAAATAAATGTTCAATAAAATTAGATTTTAAGAGCAAAAAAATTTTGTTAAAAAGATAAAATGCATGTGCGTTTTTAAAAATTGCCACATATTTATTAAACATGCAACATGATTATGATACGAATGAATGTAGCATTTAGAGTATTTCTGCAACATGTCTGTTTGCCAACATACATTACGTAACTACCTTGGAGCAAAATTGTGTACCTACATGCAATCTATTATTCAATCACTTGACATTTCACGGTGATATTTACAAAAATTTTAAGAAAATAAGAGAATTTTAAAGCTGAAATAATCTCGCTACTATTTCTCTTAATCAGAATTCTGGCAAATTTTAATCATAATTCAAACACTTATAATTAAATCTAAAACAAACATTCAAGATAACCAGAAATTTAATTACGATAACCAGAATGATAGTGATTTATATGATCAGAATTCATTTAGTTTCTACTTCTTATTGATACAAGAAAATCATTTTTTTCAGCATAAAGGAAAATTTCAAGATAAAGACATTTTATTATTGAATTTATTATTGAATTGACATTTATTATTTGTGAAATGAAACTCTATTTGCGTTCTGTATTTACGTAATGCCGTTTAAGTGCCCCAGATCTTTCCTATTCATTTATTACTCAATTAACTTATCAGAATAATGACACAACAATATCAAATATTGAGGAAATAAAACATTGTTACTAACCCATTTGAAGGCCGGTGCCCAGAAGAAAATGGTTTGTGGACCTAAAAAAAACACGCAATCGACATGAATTACGGGCACTCGTTCAAAAGGATTGAAAGAAATTAAGCAGAGATTGCCAATAAATTGTCGTAATGAAAGAATTATTGTATCAGTGATTAGAGAAATACATAGCGAATTTATTTTATTTGAAAGAATGCAATATAATAATGCAAGGCTTCGAAAGAATCGATTATGTTTACACTAAATTTACAGTCAGCTTGTTTTTCATTCAACTTATATCTTTCATACAATTTATTCCAGCTCGATGTTCGCAGTATTTAGTATAAAATAGAAAATACAAAAAAAAAAGAAAAATAAATAAAACACAAGAGCCGGCTTCAAAGTTTCACCGCAATCAAATAGGTAATCAATGCGTCAGAACTAGTTATTGGTGCATCCCCGCTGTAACGTGTACACCCTTGACTCTATTCACTCCATCTATTAAAGCTTCTGCTCTGATAGTTTCGAATAAATTCGTCAGAGCTTTAACACAGACAAGATGCCGCGCGGCCTAGTTTCCATCCATTACAATTCAGTGAAGGTACAATCGCCCAATCTAACAGCTATGCGAGAAAGCACGTTGAAAAATAGGACAACTATTATAGATAGAACTTGACGAACCTCGATTATCAGGCTTGGGATTTTGTAATAATAATTTTGTTTTGCTCATATTATACTACGTCGTTTACTATTCAATCTTGAAATGTAGCCTTGTATCAAAGCTAATCTCATATTTAATAAATCTCATATTTTAACCATTCATTTATTCATGTAGGATATTTCCATCTCATAAATTTGCTAAATATAAATATTATTTACATATGTATTATTATGTTTATAGCAAGTTACTTCAAAATAAAACATTGTATTTATTTTTTTCTAAAAAATGTATAAAATATAAATTTTTATTTAATTAATAAGAATATTAAAAATTTTTTATTTAATTGTAAATCATCAAAGAGAACAATGAAAATTAATATATAATGTTGAATGTCAGAAACATCCTACGCGAGTAATTGTGATAAAAAGAAACCATGCTAATAATATAGAAATAAATGTACAATTTAATTATAATTCAATATTATTAATGCCAGTGAACGTTTTTATAAACTCACGAGAAAGTCATGGTATCGAATTAATCTACAAGTTCACGCATATTTCTATGTGATATTAAAACAAGATAAATTCAACGCTACCGATTTCTCTAATCTGATATAATTCTTTTATTGTAACTATTTATCAGTAATATTTGTTTATCTTCCTTCCGATCCTTTCGAACGAGTGCCTGTTTAATATTATAGATACGCGTTATAGATTAGTCGTAATGTATGATAATAAGATTACAAATGTTAAATGTCTTTGAGTAGTTCCAAGGTTGAAAATATCGCCAAATCGAGCTTCGCGCGAATAACTTGAATAACTTGAATGACATAAAAAATACGATGTGTGAAATAAGGATAAATCATGCTATGGAAATGAAAACAAGTGAAACATTCATTAATTCAAATTGTATATACGACTACTTAAAGAATGCGACCTCGAGCAGTCTACATTACAAAGAGCAGTGTTCACTATTCGTGTTCTGTCGTCGGCAAGTCGCCAAGTTTTACGATATCAATATGCGGAAAAGATATTTGCGTCACTGGCTGAAAAACGAGATAAAGACAAAACATTTCCGCGTTACAACTTATCATGACTGCGATAAATACCAATAAATAAAACGTATATATAACAAATATTAAAAATAATTAACTCGCGAATTAATTATTGTAATTAATTCGATATTGAAAAATATCACAATAGATCCAGAATAGAAAATTAAATACAAAATAGTACATTAGTCACTAATCTCTGCTAATCACGGAGAGGAAAACATCATTTATCTAAAAAATCACGTCACATAGCCACATCCGGCGCATTTTTCTCACAATCAATCTATTACACATATACACACACGCGTGCACGACACGTGCCACCTGCTTGACCCGACGCAATGATCGACCGCTTTACTGACCAGCTGGATGTTTCCATAGAGGCTGCAGCTTCTCGGGCACGAACTTGCCGATGACATTCATCGAGTTCTTATAGATCACCGACATGGCTAGTGTTGGGGAGGCGGTCGTCGACTTTATGGATGACTCGATGTGTATTTAGAAATCGCACACAATCGCGGCAATAATGGCAAGTAGTGGCAGCGATCACAGCATCCGCATTCGACGACCGAGAAACGCCAAGTGTGCGGATTGGTTGCAACGTTCGCGTGGTTGCTCCCCTCGACTTCGCCGCAGTCAGCAGTAGTCGCCACTTGCCAACGTCCCTGTCCCTACTAATCCTTACGAATCACATGGACGGAATAGTGGCTCCCCGTTCAGATAGCGTCAGAGATGGATGTTTGCACGCGCCAGACTTTAAATATTTCCTAGCTACCGTGGCTGAAATCTATGATGACTATAGCGCGGCCACAATGCAACGCTGCTACCAAAATGACGGGAGTGGGACACGGAGGTGGCTGCGATGCCGACCTTACGTGTAAATATAGATGACGATCGATGGAAAAATGTATGTATAAATTTTCTTGGAGAAATGTGAATTTGAAAGACATTACATTCTCTTTTCGCAGTGCTCTATTTTTCGTTGTACTCAAGAAAATTACAAGAATATTTTCAATATTTTAAATATTTTTAATTTATCTTTGTGTAAAATTTTAGGAAGATATAAACCAATCCAACTCATCAAATTTTTAATTTTAGAATTAAAAATTAAATTAAATTAAATTAAAATTATAAGAATTATAAAATCTTACAAGTTTTATAATTATAATTTTTCTATCTATATTTTAAATTTAACAATTTTTTAAATATTATATTTCAATTTTTAAATATTAAATATTTCTAGTATAAATTTAAATTAGTAATAAAAATAAGAACTAAAATAATATAATAAAACGAGAAATCAGTAAGCCTTTCTCTCAGTCGTCGCGAATTATAAATGGATTTTAATCATAAAGTAATTGATTTTTAAAGAAATGATCAAATCTGTTTGTATAACTAAGCTGTACATATGTATTAAACTGGTATAGGAAAACTTTAATAAGCGACCTTGCGGAAGTGTGTTTGCTGACATTGGCCGAGAGTTCTCAATCGGACACTCGGACGTTCGCCAAGTCGACCTCTCCCTCTTACGACGGTTAAATTCTCTATTAATAAAACAAGATGTATTTGTTCCATCGTTTTTAGAGATTATTATTTAGTTCCAAATAATATTTATATATAGAAAAAAAGTTATAATCTTGATAACTTATTACTAATTTATAAATCATACAATCATACAAATCAAAGTAACAGAAAAGGATATATCGCACATAAGAAGCATATTATTGCATGTGTACACAACTTTTATTGATATCTTCATATATTTTTATAACAGTGTAATCAAAATATATGCATAAATACAGATATTGTCAAATTTATAAATAACATACGAATAAAACATAAGTCAAATTTTGCGCTGACATCAGAACGTAAAATCTGAATTAAATATAAATAATTGCATCATCCAATTTTCTAACTAACATTTCTAAATTATTCCACTTGTTTACATTCGTGACAATTCTCACTAAATTAACAACAGATTCGTACTTAATTTTTTATCATTAGCTACAGCCTATAACATATCTATTACAATAATTATTAATTTATATGGATGTTCGAACTAAATATGATTAGAGTCAGATGTCTGACTGTAATTTACAGAAAAAGATACATATATATATAAATGCACATTACAGTCCCATGTATATATATAAAATTCTTACTAGTTGTAAGATGTAATTATTCTCTAGATTTAAATAAGAAAAATATTGAGATCAACTAAAAAGTTCAATTTTTTGTAAGCAAAATAATTCCGTGAGATTCGATCATGTTTTATCTCACGATATTAATAGAGAGAGTTAAGGAAATCAAAAAAAGATAATAAAAGATTGTACATAAAAAATAGTAATAAAAAAGAATCAAAATACAAAAAGATCCTAGCAATAACAGATTATACGATTTCTTATGTAACTATGGTATCGGCATTTGCTAAATCTTTCTCGAATCGTCCGTTTCGAGTATTAGAATAAATACAATTAAGAAGAACAAGTGGAGCAAAGTATTAATCACAATAGAGCTTTGATGTAAAGACGTCATTTAATAATCGTCTTTAAAATAGATATATAAAATGTGATTTCTTTACATATTTCTTTGCTCCATTATGATCTTACATATACTTTTATATTCATAAGGCACATGAATTATACATATAATTAAAATTTATACAATATCCAAACATTATTACGTACACGCAGAAAAATATTTTATTATTAAGAAAAGTAATTTTCTTTCTTTTAAATAACAAAGAATATTTTTTTGATAATAATCTCAAAATATGTTCTTATTACAAAATTTTAGAAAAATGCATTATGTACCTAAAACAGGAATTTATTTTCTTTTGAAGAATATTATAAATTTGATCGAAGAAACGAATTTTTCATAATAAGCAAATCAAATTTGTTTTAATTTAATAAATTTGATTGCATTATTAAAATTATTTAGAATATATTTTGAATAAATTTAAAGTTTATGATAAACTTATGATAGATTTGCGAATATATGAATATTTCTGAAATATTTGAAATAAATAATTATTGCATATTTTTTTGTGTGTAAGTTTCATAATATTGTTCTACATATTGATATTGTATGCATGTATGCATACGTATGAAACATGGCAACCATTTAACTGCATGGATACAGTATAATTCATGAATCACTGTCATGCTCATCAGTCTTAATTTCATTTTTAATACAACACTGGTATAAAAAACGATATAAGTCTAAAAGTATGCAATATTAAAAGTACTTATAAAGATTATTCGTCCATAATATTCTTGACCATATTACACATTGTTATATATATAAATATATATCGTATATATATATATGTGAATATATATTCATGAACATATATTATGTATGAAATATGTATATGAAATGTGCTCATGCATCTTTCTTTTTTTTGTAAAATTACTTTTTTTGTAAAATTTACTTTTTACAAACTTTTTAGTGTAACAGAAATAATAATAATAATAATAATAATAATAATGTGAAAACATTAAAAATAATTTAAAAAATAATTTTCACCTTATTTGTTTTTAAAAAAATCAAGAAATGTAAAAAAATTGCTTATATAAAATTATATATGAAATTATACATAATTATGTATGAGCAATTTTTCATTTACATTTCTCCAAACTTTATTTTTTTCTAAAACTGATAATGCAAAAATTATTCCTTTAATTATATATTTCCTTTAATTATTTTCGATATTTTCGCACATTTTCGCATACATATTTATGTATGAAAAATTTTTTATCAGGATATATTAACACAAATGCGATAACTTTGATTATACAAAAAGAGAAAAAATCGATATATAGTTATATAAATAGCAAATTATCTTTTTCCAGTCATTTTTTATATTTTATCATTTTTTTTGAGGGAGATTTATTAAAATATTATTCTGTATTTCATATCATTGCATGCACAGTTATGCATTTTAAAGTGATCATTATATATTTGTTCGATATCAAAGTATGTAAGAATTGTTCAAAATTTCTTCTTAAAATCAGCATAAATAAATATTTACATAATTTTCTCCCACAAATAATAATTAAAAGTACATGCAAATAATCTATGTACAAAATTATTTCAATTTCGAAAAATGCATTATTTCAGTCACCACACTTGATTGTTACACTAACATTTTCTGAGAGCTACGCATTTAATAGAAAACGCTGTAGCATATTTATAAATGATCAGTTAAATGCAAGAGTATAAAAATGTATCTTAACGCATGTATATTTTTGGCAGCTTAAAATATTTATATAGGATTTATGGATGGCACAAATATATACTGTCTGTTATACAAGTGCATATTAAATCAATCTCTATTATTATCACTTAATGCTTTTTTGTGCCCTCAGTTATAGTAGTCCCAATAGCAGAACAATAACAACTACAATGTTATCATACGTTAAGATTTTATATTAAATAATAGAATGAGAATATATTCAATGATTCTTCAAACTATATGAAAAGTTTTGAGGTAATATAAAACTTAAAATGATAATATAAATAATCTTATCATAATAAGCCCATATAATCTTGTACGACAGACTGTATATGTTTATAATCCAGCTATTTTTTTATAATATATTTTAACAGTACTTTTTTCCTGCACATAGTAAATAAAAAATTTACTTTAAAAAATTGTAAAAAGATATTATACGTAAACATCAATTTTAGGTAAATATTATAGGTAAAATAGTATAGGTAAAAATTGGAGTTAATTTGTTAAATGCAAGTGGCAGTAAAAGACATTGCCATAAATAGATACATACTTTTCATCACCATCAGCTTGAGCACATGTGGTAACATACTATATAAAAATGTCTTTTAATACATATTTCATTAAGATGAAGTATGAATTAAGTACATCTTAATGAAATATTCATGTAATCTATCATTATATGTTAAGCCTACAACTTTCTGCCGAAACATTATATGTTACAGAATTATAGACAAACAATACTATGTATTAATATGTAATTTTTTTCTTTCAAATTTCCATAATGATATAATTAGGGTTGACAAACGTTACTTTTCAGTTACTTTGCCGTTACTTTTAGTAAACAATTTGATGACGATATTGTAATTTTTTATGACGGTAACACTAATTAAACGCTAAGATTGTACTAAGGTTAGAAAAGTCACTTTGAAAAGTAACTTGTTAACATGAGTTTTTTTTCAGTAATGAATCATTTTTTTCAGTAACAAATAACTTTTTTAATTACGAAAACATAGCCGCATCATTACCGATAACTGTATCATAACAGTAATGCAAAATAGCAAAATAAAAATATGGTATACGTTTACCTTGACAACTAATAAGCCAAGTAGACTCTAATTCACCTTCAAACATTATATTTAGCTGTTTGAGCTACAATCAAAAATACTTAGCAATTTTGGATGAATCGCATCGTTTAATTGTATTATATATTAATTCTGAAAACATAGCCGCATCATCACCACGTATATAAATAACGCAGCAGCCTTATTTTACGCATACTTTTGCGCAAAAAGCGATTTGTTGTAATATTTCTGAAAAATGAACAGTATGTCGCTGTTGGTCTTGACTCAGGACGTTACAAGTAACGATTGACATTTTTAACTCTGATGTTACCATTACGTCATATAAAATTCACAATGTCATTGTAATGTCACCAAATCATCATTGTAAGAAGGTAACGATCAAAATAAAGTTTACAAGTAACGCGTTACTTAATTGTCAACCTTGGATATAATCATCCTCTATTGCTGTGCAATATATTTATTTTTTATATATTATAATGAATTAATAAATTCTTCATTGATAAATTAATTCTATAATCAACTTATGTTTAAGTTGAACTCACGATAATTGATCAATTTAAACGTGTTAATAGATCCGTACATATCCACCATAACATATTTAGTGAAATCTGGAGAGATACATATTTTTCCATCACGGTTTTGTGGTAATGCGACAACCGTTAATAATTCTGGTATTTCAGGATTTTTACCTTTTTTGTTCTTCCAATAGCTACTTATATTATTAATGATATCCGAACTGGCAGTACTCGATATCATCTCATTTTGTATCCTAGATACATTGACGTCTACGCTTCGACTGTTAGGTACTCGTTGATTCCAAAATGCATTCGAACTGAACGAAGGAGCACTTATACTGCGACTGATCCGATTTCTCATATTCTGTGTTCTTGTCATATCCTTTGCTAAAGCAATGTTCCACCAAATTAATTCATCACTTGTCAACGACAATAAAATTGGAACATCTATGGTAACTGGAGCCCAACACAATTGTGTAATAGGACTAGCGTTAAAAAATAATTGAGCGATTTCCATCCGTTTTTGTATGTTTATAATCTGAAAAAAGTAACCGATATTAAATGCATACTTTTAATGCAGAAATTTATTATGAAATACTTACAGAAATTTGTCCTGAGTCAAGACCAACAGCGATATACTGTTCATTTTTAGAAATATCGCAACAAATCGCTTTTTGCGCAAAAGTATGCGTAAAATAAGGCTGTTGCGTTATTTGTATACGTGGTAATGATGCGGCTATGTTTTCAGAATTAATATATAATACGATTAAACGATGCGATTCATTCAAAATTGCTAAATATTTTTGATTGTAGCTCAAACAGCTAAATATAATGTTTGAAGGAGAATTAGAATCTACTTGGCTTATTAGTTGCCAAGGTATAGACGTATACCATATTTTTATTTTGCCATTTTGCATTACTGTTATGACACAGTTATCGTTTATTATGTGAATATCATGGATGGATTCTTCTCCTCTAGTCTCGATTCCAAACACTACAGGAGGTTGCCATATCTGCTAATATATTAATCAATACATTTAATTACCTGTTTATACAAATTTAGGTAGATAATTTTCGAAATGCTGAAGTGATAAAGCAGTTAACAAACAAAAGACTACTTGCTCCTGTCATCCTCTATACATAATTTTTTTTAATAGTAACAATATATTATTCCATTACGAATAAATCAAAAATAAATTCCAAGATACATAGGTAAATGAATTATTATCTACTTTTTTATAATTACAATCAAAATTATAAATAGACTAAAAAAAAAACATATGCATTTATAAGCAGAAAGAAAGAAAAATAAAAGAATACAACTTAAGAAAGAATTTAATATACACACCTTCAAATTATCGTCTTCCCATCTGCATAATATTATATCACGGTTAAGAAGATTGATAATTTTTACAAATTGAATTGGTTTATCTACTTGTAAAACCTCCGTGATTATCCCAGTTGTTATATCTAATAACTCAATTATTTTATTATCTATAACATACAACGCCTTAGTTCCATCGGCAGACAGTTGCAGATTCGATATTTCTCCTTTTATTAATTCAGATTCTTTTATCATTTTTTCTCCACATGACATTGTAATTATCTTTGAAGGGCTCTCTTTAACTACGATGTCCATTTCGTCACAAGATACAATTGCGTCAAATAGGCATTTCCTAGTTTAATAATAGAGAAATTTTCATTTAATAAAGTGTCATATATAGTTTATAATTAAATTTAAAAAATATAAATATATAAAAAGAGAATGTATAAATAATTCTAAATATTAGATTACCTAGGTAAGTCATTTGATGTTTGTATTGGGAGTTTCCATCTGTATAATGCTCCATCCCCACTCCCACATATCTGAAAAAAATTTGTTAAATTTTAAAGATAATTTTAAATTTAGTTAAATATAATTGTATTAATAAAAGATACATACAACATGACAGTCCTTAAACGGGAAAGAATCCAAAGATATGACTCGGCTTTTGTAAATTGCAACCGGTTGAAATCCAGAATCGGTATTCCATACATTTATAAAACCCGCAGAATCAGCTAATATTAGATATTCACCATCATATGTAATGGTTGCGCATACATAAGTTACTTTTTCATCGATATATCCCTTTAGTTTTCTGTTAAAATTATACACACAATTCTCAATCCTCCTGCACCATTTTACATACATAGCTTCCTTTTTGGTGACAACTATCAACGAATCATCATGCATGGGTACATGATGAAAAAAGATGACCTCTTTAGATGCAGATTTTAACTGCAGATTATAACAAGTAACATATTGATAAGTAGTATAGTCATTCCCATAATTTGTGAACACAAAAAAAGCACCCTTTGACTCATCCATTATGTGCAATAAGGAAGCATTCGTTGTAAAAGCCATTTTCATTATGTATTGACTGTAACAAATGTATGCATGTTACTTATTCGTATACACGTTGTTGTTAAATCAGTTCGTATTTACATACAACTGTACTTACTATTTGGGATCTGTTAAAGTAAACATTGTGTTTCCATTTCGGTCCCATATCTTAAAAAAAAAAAAGAAACTACACATATCTGAATAATATAAATAATATGTATACATATTATAATCAAATTTTTATTAGCCAATAATATGTTAATAAATAAAAAATATTCCATTTTGTAAAACTGTAAACTACCTGAATCGTTGCTTTGTTAGTGCATGCAGCAATGTAGTTTTCCTCACGACCAAATGCCATATCCAATATAATCTCATTTTTCACCTTAAATTCTGCTAAGCTATCGTCTTGACCTTTCAAGTTTGAATAAGGATCAGACCAGAAATTTTGTTTTTGTCGGGGGCTTCCAATGTTCATATAATTTTGATAAAATTCGTCATTCTCCTCTAATAGAGAGAATAATTTTATTATACCAGCACTGCTTAATGATAAGAAACAATCACTAGCCATAGATACAATAATTTTTTTAATAGAACACTCTTCTCCATGACCATTGAAGATTTTACGTTGCGTGCCTTGAAAATCGTACAGAATTATTTTACCCGATGTATTCCCAGTCAAGACTAACTCGGGATTATTATTTGTGAAAGATGATGTGCAAATGTTTCTTGGTATTTCTTCAGTCAATGATATATTGGCATGTTGGCTACTTTTCTTATGAGATAGATATAAGAATTCTTGTCTTCTCATAGCTAGATCTTTTGCAGTTTGAGTTATGTAATCTTGAGATGAATGATTCATTGCAATTTGGATGATATCTAAGCATTTTTTATGTTTATGTTCTATTATAACGCTTGCTTGTTCTTGAAGAAATCTTTCTAAATCAGAGACTTTTACCACATATTCATCTGTAGAGTTTAATGTAATGTATTTTCTATACTTTCTCAGATCTAGTAACAAATCATTCAAACCTGCATGTGTTAACTTAGCTTGAATGAAATCAAAATTTAAATAAAGACGTGGAAATTCCTCAAACAATTTTGCTTGCTCCAAATGATAGCCAATGTACAAGTAAATATAATTATCATTTGGCAATTTTGAAAAATCGTTATTGCAATATTGACGATACTTTTCAATAATAGACTTGTGCATCTGTATTAATTCATCATCAGTTCGTTTTTTCCTTAAATGAGTTAGCAGTAAATCGTGCACACCATAAATATATGTTTTTAAATCATTATTCCATATTCTGGCTGCAAGTGATTTATGACACAAATCCAACATCAACTCTTCAATTTCCAACGCACCTTTTCTCCAAAAAATTTCTAGAGTCTAAAATATTAAATCGATATAAAATAAAAAAAATATGTGTGAGAAATTATGCAATAAATTATGTAATATGCATCAAGTTAATAATAAATTTTATAACTTTTATAATATTACATACCTTCGAAGCTATGTTAACATCTTCACAAAAAATAGCTAAGTCCTCGTAATATTTCTTCAAATTTGGTTTTAATTGTTTAATACATATATCAAAAATAGTTTCTTGTTTTTTCCAAAATTCATTCATTACTCTGTAACATACGATGCAATAATAATTACGTAATTTTAATAATCAATGCAATTTAGAAGTTACATAATATTCATACTTGTTTGTTCTACTCTTTTCTCTCAAAGATTTCAAATAATATTTCCATCTACGATCATGTATACGCATGTCGCATTTAAATTCTTCAAATTGCGCAGCAAACATAGCTATTAATAACGGCGTTCCTTTACATTCTTCATATATTCTTTTTGCCTCTACTGGCAACTTTTTCACATCCATTTCTAATGCTTTGGCAAATAAGCCTAATGTCTCTGCTTCTGTAAATCCATCGTTCATCTGCAAGTAACATATTATTTTATTACAACAATATAATAAATATATTACATCAAATATGACAGAGAACGCCATCATTTCGGTCACAGTTAAACATTTCAAATAATACAATTAAATAAAATACAATTAAATAAAATACAATTAAATTTATTTCAGATATGATTGCACGCCAATAACTTTCGAACTTTTAACACAGTCATCTGAAACGCTATTAAATTCCCCCTAAAATATTATCTATAATAATCTATAATAATTAGAAATATAATAAAAAACGTTACCTCTATTATGTTAGGTCTTTTCTTCAATACAACATCGATGTTATCAGTAAGAACTAGAGTTTTACATTGGAAGTCAAAAGTGTTAATAATTTGTTCATTATGAACATCATCGAGAATCAATAAAGCATTGCAATTTTCTTGTTTATTAAAATAATATTTCAAATATTGAATCAGAGAATTTCTCTCAAGTGAAGAAAACAATTCTGGTTGAATTTCTAAATTTCTCACGTTATAATAGAGTGTGTTTAATTGAATTAATATTTCTTCATCAAGTGAACCATCATCTGCAAATTTAATCCAGTAGACCTGATTCTAAAATTAAAAAAAAAATTTTTATGCAAACTATAACACATTAATATCAAATATTATATGTTTAATATAATATAATATGAAAAATATCATACAGAAAATAAATTTTTCACTAATTTTACGTCCTTGAGAGTACTGGCAACTAGAGATGATTTTCCAAATCCTTTCATGCCATGTAACGCAATGTATTTTGTGGGAATTAATTCTTGTAAAGCTTTCTTTAACTGGTTAATCTGAAAATGTAATGTATTACATAATAGATAATTTTCATTTTATATATCGGAATTATTTATTACGATGCAAAGAGACGAATTTTGATACTTTAAGATTACGAACAATTTGAAAACTAATACCTAAGTGCTTGTCTAATGTGCCTAATGGACAAACCACTGTATTATGTATACAAATATATAAAAACACTGATAAAATTTATGTAAACTTACATGATATATTTCCACATTCGTATGCATAAAGAGGAATAGTTAAACTAAATAAGAATTAAATTGTCTATTATAATAAGTTACATTTAAATGATGCTATAGATTAAATGTTATTAAAAAATTTTAATAAAAGCCGACTTGTCTATATTATTAAAAAATATATTATTAAAGATTATATCAATGTAGCAATAACACAATGCCTCTAAATATAATGCAATAAGAAATTTGCAACGGAGGAATAAATAAAATTAAATAGTTGATACCTTCATAACTTTATCTTATTATTGATACAATATAACCACATTTGAGAGATAAAATTAGAGTAATTCTTAATATCATATATGATAATTATACCTTTTCTTGCCTGGTAACAGTTAATGGAGAAAGAGGTGGAATATTGAGAGGCCCAGCATAATAATCTGTTACTCCATTGGTTTCTTTTTCATAATTGCCTAACATTATATCTATTTCATTACTAAGCCAGTCGTAGTGATGTTTTAAGGATTGATGAAAGACACCAAAAGCATTTGCACCACACCTTAAAAATGTTAACACAAACATTTAATGAAATCAGTTTACTGTGTAAACTGCATCGTTAAATAAGAATGCAAATTATACAAATAATTTGTGAAATGCAATGGCTACTATTATTAGTAAATGCAATAACATTAAAATAAAAAAATGTAAGATTTTGCATAATATATGTGCGAATATAACACGAAATATATACAAATATACATACAGTGGTAGTATATCCAACAATTTGGCTGCTCTCTCTTCTTTAGTAGCTCCAATATAAATATTTTTTATATGATCTTCTGTTATGATGTATTCATTTCTTAAAGGTTGTATGATGTCATTATCTACATCTAAATCGTCAATTATATTCTTTCTCAAACGAATGAGGATGTCTTTATATAATTTTTCCATTTTTATTATCACAATAGATAATGCGCAATCCAAATTGTCTTTATTTAGAAGTTTAAATACAAATTACTATAAATTTCAGTGCAATTCTCTGAAACAAATAATTACCTCTGATATTTTAATATATTTTTTAAGATAATTTCATACTTAAGAATAAATGAACCTAATTAAGATAATAATAATTTATTTTTGTTTAATTAAATCTCTTAAAAAAATATATATATATATATATAATATATATATATATATATATAATTATAATGTATATAATTATTTTTAATTTAGGATAACTGCCTCAATTGCTGTACCTGTCCCTATTAGTGTGCTTTCATATTTCGATAAATCATAAAGAAAATTAGCACAAATAAATAAGAAAAAATAAATAATTATAACGAACGTGGTTTATAAATCAAACATATAAAAAAAGGAGCATGAAACCACAACACTGGATGTTCTACATAATTTGCAATTTAATAATTGGCGCTGTAACAATGTTGATGCACTTTCACAAGATAAAAGAACACGTTTATATATATTTATATTATACAACGATTGAATTTAATGTCAGATATATGTAAATTCTGCGTTTTACTAATATTTGTGATTTTACGTAAGATGGCCAGATTGTGGCGCGATGCACAACATTTATTAATGTAATGAATTATTAAATTTCACAAACAACATCCAGTGTTGTGGTTTCATGCTCCTTTTTTTATAAATAAGAAAAAATATTTTTTTTTTGTTAAGTTAAATTATTAAATAAAAAACTAATTCAAATTAGCTCTTGAAATATTAACACAAATAAAAAATAGAATAAAAAATGGATAATTAAGAGCCTTAATACGTGGTAATTGATGCGAGTAATATCACATACACATATATTTCGATTGTATCTACTGAGTTATTACATAAAATAAAAAAATGAATGTTTCGGTTATATTCAAGTCATCTTCAGCAGTCCCCAATCATAATAATAATTGTTCACAATCTAATGTTTGTACCATAGTAAAAATCAAGTGCAGCAAGTAAGTTTCCCATGGAGTATATAACCGTTAAATTATTAATGCATACGATACCAAAGATAATATTTTATTTTTTGCGTATTAAAATGTTTTAAATATTTTTCGAGAGATATGAGGAATTTGTGAATCCAATAATATGTACCGCAAGATTTTAAACTTGTCCCTATTAATGTGCCCTGTATAGGAGCTGAGAAGAGTTGTGTTATGAGTGTATTTTGAAATAAATATAATTGAAATAATGATTTATGTAATATTAATATAAACAATTAGCTTAAATTTATTATCTGTTTTAATAACTACGTATGTTAAAATGAGTCAAATGTGGATAAGCATACAAATGGGGAGCACATTAATAAGGCCATCGCCGCTTAGAGGACTCACTAATAGGGACAAAAACATGTTTTCTATTTTTGTCAAAAGCATTATAAAGTATTAATATTTTTTAGAATAAAGAAATATTATAAGAAAAAGAAATAGTTGAAAAATCGATATTGATTGTAAGCAGATAAAATTAAAGCTACAATATTTAACAATTAATTCAGTAATAAGCAAATTGGCTAAAAGGCACATTAATAGGGACAGTTACTCTAGTAATGCTGACTTTTTGAAAGAGATTGAATTAAACAATAAATTATTATTATTTTAATTAGTTGTATTTATCCTAAAACTTATGGAGAATACTGTATGTATGTGTGTGTATATATATATTTTTTTTTTTTCACAGTACTCTCCATAAGTTTGGGAACACCTTATATTTTACAGAAAAGCCATTACATGACAGCGACATATCTATACATGTTTTTGGTTTAAATACTTCATAAGACGTCTAAATGACGATAAACATTTATCTAGAACACCTATAAGCTTGTACTTGCTGAAAATATGTTTGACAATCATTTCACAGCAGTGAAATGAAGTGCTCAAGATTGAATTTCGCGCTTTGGTCTATTCTTTATATGTATTGTCACTTGTTTTGCAACATCGCTTATGTTCGTTGTATATATATACAGGTCATTTAAACGTAGTTGACCTTTAACAGTTTCTATAAAAGTGGTAAACTTTAAGTCATAAGTTGATTTTAGACTCTGTAAAAATTGTAAAATGGCCCCGAAGAATCAGATTTCGTATTTTGAATCGCATTTTAATAAAAATTCTATATTTTAATAGCGCGTTATAAAATCTTTAATTAAAAAAAGACGAAATAAAAGTACATATATACGTATGTTTATATCGTCTTTTTTTAATTAAATATTTACAAACTATAGAACGTAGAGTGTCCCCAAACTTATAAAGAGTATTAATAATTATAAATGTAATTTGCGTCACAAATAAAAGATATAGGTTATCTTAATTTACGAGAAAACGCAGTAACTATTTCATCTATCATAAAGATGTTCAAGAAATAGAATTCCTGCGTATATAAAATTCCTTTAATTCCATTTCAAACTGATAAAACTTTTATCAATTCTTTTTGTTTTTATCTTTTTTATTTTTCTTTTTTTCTTATGAATGCGTGTCTCGAGAGAGAGATATAAGATTAGAAAAAGTTTCACTGTAAAATAAATTTAAGAAAAAATCGATTGTTGCCGTCTAAGTTTTCGTTTTTAAAAAAAAAATTAAATTAAATTAAAAAATACTAAAATTAAGAAATTGAAAAATTATCCACACAATACGGAGAGCTTCCTGAGAGTTCCCTGACAGCTCATAAAATTTTTGTAAGCTTCATTTAAGCTCCAAAAAGAACTTCTCGGGAACTTCTATGTCCGCTTTTGAGAGTTCGTTTCCTTGGAAGTTTCATTTTGGTTCGCAAGGAGCTCTTTTTAAACTGTCCGAGAGCTCAGCAAAATAAACTCACTGAGAGCTTATTTAGTTGAATTTTGTAAGCTCCCCAAAACTCAGCAAAATGAATTCTCTGAGAACTTATTATATTTAATCGAATTTTCGCTTTTGAAGCTCCCTGAAAGCTCAGCAATATGAACTCCTTGGAAGTTGGAAGTTCATTTTGTCAAATTTTAAAAGCTCCCCGAGGACTCAACAAAATGAAGTCTCTGGAAACTTAATCGGAGCTTTGTGCTGTGTGGGTAAGAAATTAATAATATTTATAAAAAATAATAATATATTTATTTTTATCCTTTTTACTTTATCTTTATATTCTTCTTTCTATCCTACGAACGTATGTTTGGGAAAGATTTACAATCAAAAAGAAAATTTGTCAAACAATGAATTTAAGAATAAAGACGAAATTAACATATCTTCGTTTAAAAACAGAAAATTATAAATTAAGAAATTAAAAAAATATCAATATATTTATGCGTTTATTAGCTTATATGTTAATTGTATCATACATTTTCTATTAAAAAGGTATACAAAATAAATTTCGACATTTTATTTATAATTCCCTTGATTTAAATTATAACCGCTGAAGATAAATTCAACAACTTATTATAAAAGCATAAAAATTAAAGCTTAAATATATTATTAATTTTCCGATCCACACTTTCTTTTCATTTATATTTCCGATACATTCTGTAAAGCAAAAGGTAAAACTAACGATGAGAAATACTGAGAAAAAAATTCGAAAAATTCTATTAGTCGCAACTATCTTTAATAATATTTTGAATTACGAATATCGCGAATGTAGACGCGAATAAATGATCTTGAGAATCCCGCATTCGATCGACGATGGAAAGACGGATTTTTTTTTGCTCTGTTGTGAATAATAAAGACGATCTTATTTTTCCACAATTATTAAACATGCATCATATTTTTAAAAATAAATATAAATGCCTTTTTTTTTAAATATTATTTTTATATATCAGTGTTGGATCGGAATGCGCACAATATCCGTAATGCTCTTTTTCCAACTTACTAAGTTTCTTTTTTTTTACGTTTTTCTCATAATCGCCATTTTAATATTCTTGACCAATGGTCTTTCTCATCCTCTCTTTAAGTAACAATACCCCTATCCTCTTCCTTCTTTCTTATCATTCTTTTCTTAAACAAGAGATGCAGCTGCGCTGTTTCGCACCCCGTCGAAATATTCACTTCACGCTGATTACATGGATGTAACTACTCTCGTAATTATTAATCTTTTGTGAGAATGAATGTGCTTTGTTCAGAAAAATGCGAGTAATCTCTAACGTGACGATGATTCCACCTGTCCACTCCACGATTAACACTCCGTGACTGAGAAACAGGTACTCGTTGCTCTACCTCTACTGCCTACGAGGCATCTAAATGCGACGTTGCCATGCGTTGTCAATACTATAGCTGCTAGCATACGCTATAGCTATTAGCTATCGGCAACTATGACCACTCTTCCCCCACTACGCATTATTAAGGTAACGCAAGCCAAAATTTGGCATCACTGTAGAGTGATCACTATCCTTCCGTCTTCCATCGCAACACAAAGACGCGTAATGACTATAACAATGATGAATTATTGAAACATTTTCAAGAGACAAGTAGTGGCAGAAGTATGTTTGCAGTAGGGCAAGTCTTTTCACGTCTCATTTATAAAAGTGCAGTCGTATGAAGTCATAGATTTCACACTCCTAAGTTACAACACATCGTCGAGAAGCTGCACTGAACTGCACTCATACACTGCAACAACTGCAAAGCCAGCCATGGCAATATGGCGCTGGTTCAGTTGGTCGACGCGATAGGAAAACGTCAGTGCTGCACCCTGCACTACTGCAGTGTGTACTGAACGAATTAATCGAATCTCCAACACAAACAAACATACGAAAAGATAGCTTTAAGGATAACAGAGATAACTGCTTAAATACGATATTTCTTGATATGTAAGTTTTCTTGGTACGAGTCTAGGATAGACTTTTAAATGTTAATTGAAGGAAATATGATATGCTGTAAATAAAATAAGTATTATATATAATTGATATTTAAATAATAATTATGTACGACCCTTATTTTGAAATTTATGGATCCTAAATAGTTTATATTAATTTATTAATAAATGCTTTATTTATACTACG